AGCTCAACATGAAGCGCCTGACAGTAGTCCAGCCGTGAGCTTACGAACACAGGGGACAGTGGGGCCAGATCCGCTGACTCTGAGAAGAGAGGGAGCTGGCGAATCTGATGCCCCTCTTAGGTGGCACTCTTGGCCACTGCACCAGCACGTTTTTCAAGCAGCCATTCTAGGTCCATGTGCACCTCCCAAGTTCTCTACAAAAGCTAATCCATCCAGGACGAGTGGATCCAGTCCACTTGTAGAACGCCAGCCTTCCCAAAACAAAAATCTCGACACAAACTTCCAGTTGTTTGGTAACTGTTAGGGATGAGTGGATTCCTGTAACTCCATGCCAGTTAAGATTCTGACTGTCTTTAATCCAGGGCTTTCACTGCCACAGTCTTCTATTGCATTTTGCAGAACTTGGGAGAGCAGAGTTAAAGAGAAAACGGACTTCTCTGTTTCCTTGATGTTTGTGGAAACTACAGGTGGGGATTGGGGGGGGGAGATGTTCATTCCAGGCTGTGCACTTCCAACCCCTGTGTGAACCAGGCATCTGGGGGAAAGTAACTTAAAATGACTACAACAATATAATAGAGGCCTATTCAAAACTATACCTTTGTCTGTGGAGAAAATTAAAGAGGGGGGGGGGAAATCAGTATTCGAAGGCCATTTGTGAAAGGGTTTTTTTGTTTGTTTGTGTCTGTATTTCTGAAGTAGGGAGGTCTTCTGTACCACAGAAACAAAAAGAAAGAAAGCACTCCAGAATCAGTTCATTGCGTATTGAAGGACATTTTTTGGGGGGGTGACTCATCAAAGGCTAGGGCTTAAGGAGGTTTCAATGATTTTTGTTTAATTTCCGTGGTGTAGGAAAGTGCAGTTACGTTCCTCAGTACCTATAGAAACAAAAACAAAAAAATAGAAACCCTTTCAGATCACCCCTTGGCATGCTAATTTCCCCCATGGGAAACTGGTAATTTTGAAGGGTTTTCTTTTTCTTGCCATCTTCCTAGAATCCCCGGATCTTGAGGCTGCATTAGGGTTGCCAGGCCTGGGTTGGAAAATACCTGAAGACTTTGGGGGTGGAGCCTGGAGGGGGCAGGGTTTGGGGAGGGGAGGGGCCTCAGCACGGTACAGTGCCATAGAGTCCTCCCTTCAAGACAGCCATTTTCTCCAGGGGAGCTGATCTCCAGGCCCCACTTGGAGGCTGCCAACCCCAGGTGGCATATGTGCATACTAGCCTTGCCAACTCCAGGTTGGGAAATTGCTGGAGATTCAGGAGTCCACCCTCCAAAGTAGGCATTTTCTCTAGGGGAACTGATCTGACACCTGGTGATTACTTGTAATTCTGGGAGACATCTAGGCCCCACCTGGAGATTGGCAACTTCAGGCGAATATTTTCCCAGAATCCACAATTTGCAGGGGCACCAGAGAAGAAATTTAAACTATTGTGAAGTGTAGAGTTATCGCGGAATGTTCATCAGATCTCCCCCTTAGGTTAGGTTTTGCACTGGGGGGGGGGGGGGGGGGGGGGAGACCCAAGTTCCATGGCAAAATCCACCAGAGGGGGCTTCTGTAATCTTCCCTAGTAGTACTTCAGAAGCACATTTAACAGCCATGCATTTGGGCAACTGATGCAAGTAGGGTTGCTGACTCCTGATTTGGAAATCCCTGGAGATTTTTGGCCTGGCGCCCGGGGAGGGCAGGGGTTTGGGGAGAGGAGGGGCCTCAGCTGGTTATAATGCCAAAGAGTCCATTCTCTAAAGCAGCCGTTGTCTCCAGCGGAACAGATCTCTCCAGTCTGGAGATCATCATAATTTGGGGTGACCTACAGGCCTCACCTGAAGGCCGGCACGCCTAGATGCAACGATTCAATGTCGTCTTTTCCTTCAGGGAGTTTTAAGCTGTTGTTTTTGTGAGTTGCTCCTTTAGGGTTTTTTGTATGCAAATATTATACATTGAAGTTTCTTGTCTTATTGGTGCTGTTAGTGTTACCAGGTATGGACTAAACTTGATTGGGTAAGTGATCTGTTCTAAAATTGGTTACCTGTCCATCTTGTTCTCAGGGCTGGGCTTTTTGTCTAATTCTTGGGGGTTGCGTCAAGTTTTTGTCTTGGATGTGTTGCCCTTGGTTTGGCGAGTCTGAATTTCCTTTGTTCAGCCTATGGTTCCTCTCTCCCTGCAGTTCAGTCCAGTGCGTTGTTCTAGTGTGGCTTTTCTCACATCAAGGTATCGTTGCCAGTTATCCCAGTCTGCCAGCAGCAGATTATACACAGCACTGATCGGCTGGTACTTGTGTCATCCATAATCCACTTTCCTACCATCATCAGGACACTTTAAAGTAGAGATGTTGAACTCATTTTTTTATGAGGGTCAGTTCTGACATAAAGGTCACTTTGTCCAGCCGGGCATATGTGTCATAAAATGTAATGTCTCCATTCCGGGAGATATAAACTCTATAAAGGACAGAGGCAAACCCAGTTAACAACATTACTTTTTACTTAAGATACAAACATGCTTTAAGCATTAACACTCTCACAGTATTTCCTTAAAGTATCTTCCTGATGCCCACACTCCCACTTCCACCGTCTTCTGTAAGCCGCCCAGAGCCTGTTTACAGGGTGGGCGGGGTATAAATATAAGTATGTATAAATAAATAAATAAATTACTCATTAGCACTGGGACAGTACACAGGAACATAATGCACAGCCTCTGCCATTTGGCAATAGAGGTAATAACTAATTGCTCATGGATTGGATATAAGAGCCCTGGACGGGCTGGTTCCGGCCCCCGGGCCTTATGTTTGACACCCCTACTTTAAAGTGTCAGCTTGCCTTTTGATATACTACGAAGAGGTCACCAAAAACTCATCTCAGACACGTGTGCTGGCCAGAACATGTGTTGCATTTATATAGCTTGGAACTTTGGTCATTCAGCTAATTGGCTAAAATTCACAACTGACCACAAAGACTGAAGGGTTCCTTCTAAATTAGCAGTAAGCAATTAGAAGCATTCTTGTAACTACTCTGCTAATTTCTCTTGGGTCCAAACCACTGTTCCCTCTAAGATGAGTTCGTGTGAGCTAGCTCACAGTTCTTTAGCCTCCGGCTCACACAGTTTTGTCTGAGCTCAGGAAGGATGGCTCCAGAGCAGACTAATTTATGCAGCAGCCAAATCACTCACTCACAACTTTAATGCCGGTGGCTGACAAAGTGGAATTTTTGCTCACAAGACTCCACAGCTTAGAGGGAGCATTGGTCCAAACATACTCTTGTCCGATCTTTGCCAATATTCACAATTCCTGTCACAGTGGCCCTTTCTGTAAGTTCTTCCCCCTTAATTATTCTACACTGTTTTTGGATCTACCTGGTAATTCCTGAATATATCCAGGATTTGGGGGGGATTTTTTCCCCACGTCTCCCTAGAAAAGCCAAATACATTTGGGATCCCAAACTCTACCCGAAAAATACTGCTAAGACAGATGCACTTCAGTGCAAGTGAGATGCATTTCAGTGCAGAACTCCAGCTCAGTGCTGATGTGATTTTCTTCCACATAGGGATGTCCATTAGGATCTACCTGAGCCAAAAATCTACCTTAAAAATACCAAAATGCAGCTACCTTGCATTGTCATAGGGTTGCCAGCTCTGGGTTGTGAAATTCATGGAGATTTTGGGGGAGGGGGAACCTAGGAAAGGAGAGGAGGGACCTCAATGGCATATAACACCATAGGTTTCAATCTTCTAAAGCAGCCTGTCATATTCAGGGCTAAGTCTGATGCTGTTGCTCTACCTGGGGCTTCCGGGATACACAAATACAATAACAACAAGTACAGGAATACACAGGAGCAAGGTTTACAAACCAGCCTGGAGTCAGTTATCCAAAGGTCCAGTCCAAGGGCCAGGGGAGGAGGGTCCAGGGGTCCAGTTCCAAGGCTTAGGAGCAGGTGCAGGATACAGGGTTCTGGGTCCCAGGCTTCAGGAGCAAGCACAGATTAGACAAGGTACAAGACAGCAGGGTCAGGGTTAACTCTGTTTGCTAAACAGGTCAGCACGCAGAGGCAAACAAGGCTGCTTCCCCACTGAGCCATGCTCACTGTGTTCCTTTTATCTGTGCCTTTTGCTGACTCATCCCCCCAAGGGCCACATGTTGCCCCTAACAGTCATGTTCACCTTTGTACCGGCACAGATCTTTTACTATTTCCCTATCAGCCTGTCAGCCCTGGACCTGCAAGGACTTCTCTCCGGGAACTAATGCTGACTGTTGCTAAGGAGCCACGCGGGCACTCCTTCGTCTCTCCTGAGCCACCAAGCGCTCTCTTTTTCTTCTACACTCTACTGGCTCAGGAGAGGCTGGGGGTGGGAAAGCCAACCTCCATGGTGTCTCCTTCTTATCCAGGAAGATTGAGCAGCCCGGCTGTGCCTGGGAAGCATTCTCACTTCCCAATGCTTCCCCCATTGGGTCTGCTGCTGGATCCTGCCGCTCAGGTGGCAATCCCATCAGTGCGGGGCCTGATTCTTCAGATTCCTCCTCAGCCAAGGAGGTGGCAGTTGGCTAGCCCACAACACAGCCATTTTCTCCAGGGGAACTGGCCTCTGTCTTCTGGAGATCAGTTGTAGTTCTGAGAGATCTCCAGACCCCACCTGGAGGTTGGCAATTCTAGTTTATGCAGGGCTCTTTTTGTAGCAGGTACTCATTTGCATATTAAGCGACACACCCCTAATGTAGCCAATCCTCCAAGAGCTTACAGTAGCCCCTGTAAGAAGAGCTCTGTAAGCTCTTGGAGGATTGGCTACATTAGGGGTGTGTGGCCTAATATGCAAAGGAGTTCCTGCTACAAAAAGAGCCCATAGGTCAGTGTTCTTGGGGGGGGGGGATCAATCCTGTTTGGCCATCAGCCCGAGCCAAAGATCCTCGGGCCAGAGATCTCCAACAAATCAACAGTTTGTCGTTTCCGGTGTCAAAAAAAAGGAAACTCGGTGGCTATTCGCTGTTTGCAGCATCTGTCTTTGTGTATCTGCAGGAAACGAAGTGATTGCTGTGGACTGGAAAGGGCTTCGAGATGTGGACCAGATCAATATGGACAGCACCAGCTCGCTACACGGCAGCAGCATTCACCGGCCCTCCACGGAGGTGAGCGCCCGTCCCGTGGCCACAGAGGAGAGAAGCTGTCATTGGTCAAGGACGTCAGTCGCTGAAGCGATGTAGGCCCCCACAGGGCTTGTCTTTTAGCCTCAATGATTTTTGAGTCCCAAATGGCTTATTCATTTGTATGGGGCGTAGCGACCAGGTCTGCCGGAACCCCTGTTTGGGTCCCAGCAAAACACTTGGAAGCCGAGGCACTCAACAAGATAAAAATGTGGCCCCAATGAGACGACGGGTGTTCCATGGAGCAGCGTAGGAGGGATGGAGGTGGGCAGTCCACAATCCAAACAATTCATCCGAGAGTCTTGTCGGTCGTCAGCAGTGCTAAGTCCACATTTCCTAGTCGTGACGTCTGTCTAAACTACTCGTCTTAGAGCTTTTCCACATGAGGGCCTTCGTTCTGTTTTCTGAGCTGTTCGTCTGATAGCAGAACTGCATCAAGCACTGAGCTTCCGCACATCTTCCCTCTCTCGACAGTTTTTCGGCTGCCACGCCAGCTTACCTTCTTATATTTATATATATTTATTTATACTTTCGGTTTATATACCGCCCTGACCCCGAAGGGTCTCTGGGAGGTTTACATAGTGGTTCTAACCAACCAATTAACCTAACTAGGGCCACATTGTCTACAGGGTGGTGACTGCCTACCAGCACGCCGGGCTAGTTGTCATCCGGCTTCCTTCTGCGGCTTCAGATATTGGCGTCCTGGTGCTATTTCTGGAGCCAATCTTCCCCGAGCAGCTTCCTCTGGCAGGTCTCGTCTTGGCACATGGTTCTGTGTTGGCTGCAGTTCCGGCTACTGTCCACAGGTGGCTCCGCTGCGCTGCGCCGCACGTCACCACGCTCTCCAAGGCTCCACTTCTCCGGGCTCCGCCTCCAATATTGCTCCACCGATCGCCAGGAACTGCTCCGCCGCCATTATAGACATGCCTCAATTTGATTGGGTTTTCTGAGAGAAGGTGCTGTCATTGCCGGCAGTGCAACGGACCCCTCTCCATTGTTCCCGCTACGCTGAGTTAGTGTGAGCCAGCTCACAGGTTTTTTAGCCTCCAGCTCACACATTTTTGTCTCAGTTCAGGAAAGGATGGCTCCAGAGCAAACTGATTTATGGAGTAACCAAATTGCTCGCCTACATCTTTAATGCCAGTAGCTCACGAAGTAGAATTTTTGCTGACAAGACTCCACAGCTTAGAGGGAACATTGCACCCCCTCCGTCTTTTGTTTCTTTTTAATGTACATGCGCTGTATCGTTAGTAACCTACAGCTAGAAGAGAAGCTAGGCGTGTGAATGTGTGAGAACTGTCATATGGATAAATGCTCTCAACTCTAAGGTTCAGCCCAAAAGCTGGACATTTGGAGCTGCAAATTGGGGGGGGGGGGGTTAAGTTTTCCTGTCCATAAAAGGCAGGCAAAAAAAAAGGCCATTGGGCCCCCCCCCCCAATCTAGTCAATCACTTTCAGGCAGCAGGTACTTAATGTTCAGTCATGTAAATGTCTCTAGCAGACTAAGGACAAGGAAGCAGTCCAGCAGGGCTGCCCTGGGACAGTCCCCATCAGGAGCTAAAGGAATACCTCCCCAAACCCATAAAATATAAAATTCCCAAGAAAACTAAACATAAGGGGGAGCTCTTGATTTCGAGAAACAGGCACATCTTATAGTGATGTATTGCTCTCAGGGAGGGTTTTTTAATTAATCAAAAACTGTCCTATGCAAGGAAACAAAATCCTTCTTTCCATGGAAGGAAAGGGGAGGGGTAGAGCAAACCGAGAGAGCCAGGCACAAAGGCAAAGAGTGAAGGCCGAGTGGCCAGAATAGAGATGCCAAGTCCCCCCAGGGGGCGGGGAAAATCCCGCCTGGGAGGTCCGTTCCCCGCCGCCGCCGCCGGATCAGGCCCCCGGGGGAACCCCACCCCCAAAGCACGTCACACGGAAGTGACGCAAGCAGGTAAGCACTTGGCAACCCTAGGCCAGAAAGACCAGGGAGGTCACCTGTTAGGGTAGCCAGCTCTGAGTTGGGAAATACCTGGAGGGCTGGGGGTGTGTGTGTGAAACCTGAGGAGGGCGGGGTTTGGGGAGGGGAGGGACTTCAGCAGGGTATAATGCCATAGAGTCCATCTTCCGAAGCAGCCATTTTCTCCAGGTGACGTGGAGATCGGTTGTCATCCCAGGAGATCTCCAGCCGCCACTTGGAGGGTGGCGACCCTAGCTCCTGTCTTCTGAATGGGCAAGGAACCAAATGGCCACAGCCAGTGCGCCCTCTGAATTGTGGAGCCTTGTGAGCAAAAATTCCACTTCGTGAGCGACTGGCGTTACAGTTGCGAGCGAGCGATCTGGCTGCTGCATCAGTTAGTTTGCTCTGAGCTAAGACAAAAAAGTGTGAGCTGGAGGCCAAAAAACTGTGAGCTGGCTCACACTAACTCAGCTTAGAGGGAACACTGGCCACAGCCAGAAAAAAACAAATTAGGGGGCTAGGGATGCCAACCTCCAGGTGGGACCTGGGGATCCCCTAGAATTACAGCTCATCTCCAGACTACGGAGATCAGTTCCCCTGGAGAAAGTGGATGCTTCGGAGGGGGGACTCTAGGGCATTGGACCCCGGTGAGGTCACTGTGGCCTTCCTAGGCTTCATCCCCAAATCTCCAAGAGATCCCCAACCCTGATCTGACATCCCTACCCACCATCCACCGCTGGTGGCCAGGGGTATCTGACAAGTGGCAACCCTGTTGTACATATTAGATTCCATGTCAAAAATGAAGTCAAATGAGGAGGAAGATCTATGTTTTATTTCAATTAACAGAAAAACAATTGGACCAAATAGTCCATCCAAAATCGACTACTTTCTTCTCAGCATATTTAGGAAATATGCTTCAATTAACAGGAAAACAATTAGACCGAATAACTCATCAAAAAATTGACAACTCTCTTCTTTTTCTTCTTCATCTTCTTCTTGAACCTATTCTGAACATATTCAGGAAATACATGGTATTTTATACATGGACGGACATCACCAAGAAAACAATATTCAAACAGCATAGTTGGTTACAAAAGACAGTGGTAATTTGAGTAATAATCCTCTGATTGGCCAGATGTAAAGAAACATATATCTATGTCAATCTAAGTGTTTACTTAACCTAACCTAAATGATAATGGGCAAGGATTCTTCATACGAGACTAAAATCCTATCTGACCCAGACATTGAAAGGTTTGGCCGTAAGAACTACAGAATCATGAACTTTGTACCTATTATGTTGTCTGCTAACAATATCAGACCTACAAAAGGAAAGCCTTCTATATAACAGGCCTTTCTAACATCCTAATGAAATATTACTTAAAGAATAAATCTATAAAAACCAGAGAAATATGAATATGAACCATCAAGAAGGAAAAACAACCTATATATAAAAATCTTTATATTCCCATTCATACTACAACCCTTGGGGGGGGGGGACAGAGAAAGGAAAAAGGACCCGTTGCTGCTAGCGTGTGGGAACGGCAGTGATTACTCCTATGCCTTCTTTTAGCAATGCATAGCAACTTAAAAATTTTTTTTTGCAAATGTGCTGATGCCAGAGTTAAAAATTCCTTATTATTCAGGCAGGGGAAAGAGACTACAGGGCGGGGTTGTCCCCACAGTCACAATCCGGGCAGCAGGAAGTGGGCGAGACCAGCAAACGCACTAGAAACATATATGTGAATAAATATGATTCCGATTCAGTTGCTAGGAGAAAAGACTGGAGAGAAAGTGGTCCCCAAAAAGAGGCAGGAAGCAGGGAAAAGGTGAGGCAAAAATGCAGAGGTCATTTCGGGGGGGATCGCGGGGGATCACAGTTCCCCCGGGTGAGGGAAGCCGGGCACATGATGAAGCCCTGCCCCGCTTCCGGCCCTCATTCAGCCAGGAGGAGGCAGGAGAAGAGGGAGGGTAAGTTGCTTCCTCCCTGCCTCTCCCCACCCCTGCCTGCCTGGGGCCACGGAGGGCTTTCGCGGGGCTTCCTTGCACCCCCACCGGCCTTGCAGGTCCACTGCCAGCGGCGGCCGGGACCGTTGGGGGCGGGGTGTGTGGCCTTATGACACACTTCCGGTGATGCCAGGGGGTGTGGCCTTATGACACACTTCCGGTGATGTCAGGGGGTGTGGCATATGCTAATGAGTTATGCTAATAAGTTCCCCTAGCTCTTTTTCTACGAAACAACCCCTGCAAAAATGAATGTCTCAGGAGAGTGCGCGGAAGCCGTTTGGGGCTGGAACCGATGCAGGAGCGCCGTGCCAAAATGCCCTTCGTCTGGTGCCTGTCTAAACTACTCATGTTCTTTATAGCATCATCTTACATTAGAGCAGCTGGCTCAGAGAGTCTCTCTTTTTTTTCTTCCATACAATCACAGCCAAGTCCTGGTCATTTGATTACCAGGCAGTGATTTCTGTACAGCTTTAATTTTGTTATCTGGCAGCTTCTATGCCTTCTGTAATTTTAGGTGAGTTATCTATCTAATAAGGTAAATGCGCTCTGATGAGACCTTTGATTTTCCAAAGAGCAAGGCTATTTTTATTCGAACCTACTATGTTATTTTGGGGAAGATCCTACAGCTTTGCGCATTGCAGAATGCAAGCAGTTCACTGTTGAGGGATGCTGGGTGGTGGCAGCTGGAGAGCGCATGAGGCAGCATGTTACACTGGTTAAAGCAAAAGCCCCTTTGGCAGTGTTCCCTCTAAGCTGAGTTAGTGTGAGCCAGCTCACAGTTTTTTAGCCTCCGGCTCACACATTTTTGTCTTAGCTCAGGAAGGATGGCTCTAGAGCAAATTAATATCCTCAAAAAGGATATTATAGCGTTGGGAAAAGTGCAGAAAAGGGCAGCAAGAAAGATAAAAGGGTTGGAACACTTTCCCTATGAAGAAAGGTGTAGTTTGGTGTAGTGGTTAAGTGTGCGGACTCTAATCTGGGAGAACCGGGTTTGATTCCCCACTCCTCCACTTGCACCAGGCTGGATGACCTTGGGCAAGCTGTAGTTCTGATAAGAGCTGTTCTTGAAAAAGAGCAGTTTCTGTCAGAGCTCTCTCAGCCCCACCTACCTCACAGGGTGTCTGTTGTGGGGAGGGGAAGGGAAAGGAGTTTGTAAGCCGCTCTCTTCTTCTCTTAAAGTGCTTGGGGCTCTTTAGCTTGGAGAAACGACGGCTGAGGGGTGACATGATCGAGGTTTACAAGATTATGCATGGGATAGAGCAGGTCGAGAAAGAAGTACTTTTCTCTTCTCCCTTTCTCACAATAGAAGAAGAAGAAGAAGAAGAAGAGGAGGAGGAGGAGGAGATTGGATTTATACCCCGCCCTTAACTACCCAAAGGTGTCTCAGAGCGGCTTACAAACTCCTTTCCCTTCCCTTCCCCTCCCCACAACAGACACCCTGTGAGGTGGGTGGGGCTGAGAGAACTCTGACACAAACTGCTCTTTTTCAAGGACAGCTGTGCCAGAGCTTGTGACTGACCCAAGGTCACATCAGCAGGTGCAAGTGGAGGAGTGGGGAATGAAACCCGGTTCTATCAGATTAGAGTCCGCGCACTTAACCACTACACCAAACTACACCTTTCTTCATAGGGAAAGTGTTCCAACCCTTTTATCTTTCTTGCTGCCCTCGTGGGCACTCCATGAAATTGCTGAGCGGTCAGGTTAGAACAGATAAAAGGAAGTAATTCTTCACTCAAAGAGTGATTAACTCATGGGATTCACTGCCACAGGACGTGGTGGTGGCTACAAGCATGGACAACTTGAAGAGGGAACTGGATAAACATATGGAGCAGAAGTCCATCAGTGGCTATTACCCATAAGATATAGATAGGAACTCTCGGGCTGGGGCAGGTGATGCTCTGAATTCTTGGTGCTTGGGGAGGCAACAGTAGGAGGGCTTCTAATGCCCTGGCCCCACTGATGGACCTCCTGATGGTACCTGGTATTTTTGGCCACTGTGTGACAGAGTGTTGGACTGGATGGGCCACTGGCCTGGTCCAACATTGGCTTCTCTACGCAGTAGCCAGATTGCTTGCTCACAACTTTAATGCCAGTCGCTCACAATTTTTGTTCACAAGACTCCACAGCTTAAAGGGAGCATTGCCCTTGGGTTCCAGCTTCTTGCTCCTGTGAGTTTGTCAATGGCATCTTATTGGCCACCACTGGAGATTGACTGCTAGAGTAGTTAGACCTTTGGCCTGAAGCAGTGGAGACTGACTAGATCACTCTCCCCAAAATGGTGCCCACACCTTTCCAGGCACCTGCCAAGTATTTTTTGAAAGTGGGTGGGGGAAAGTGGGGCTTTTGTCAAGCAAGGCTTCCATTTGGTCCTTGGAGATCTGATTGGCTGTGCAAGTTTTAAAAGGCTGCTTCGGGCGCAGCTGCCAGGGCAGCACAAGGATCTTCACTGTGCGACTGAAGGTAAGCGGTGCAAATGCAAGAAAATATTTTTAAGCAATGCATTCATTTAAAAAGGCATCCTATTAAGCAGAGCATCTGTCTGAAATGCTGGAGGAGTTGCTCTTAGCGTCATGCGTGACCTCTCTCCCAGACATTTTGTGGTTGGCGCCATCCTTCCATGGCAGCCATTTTGTGGGTGTGCCCACCACCCTGTGTCAGAACTCCATAGGGGCCTTGACTAGACCTTCTGGCAGTTCTCCAGCATCCCTGGCTGATGTTCATCCCAGCCTTCCTACCTGAGATGCTTTTATCATGGCAGGAGTTGAGAATCTGGGGCTTTCTGTGTACAAAGCAGTTGCTTTGCTATTGAGCCATTTCCCCTAGCTGGAAGAAATAAACTAGATCAAGAAAGATTCCACACACCTCCAAGCACCCATCTGCCCATGTTTGAGTTGATTATGCAACAATTGCATTGGTATGCTGGGATGCACATTCCAACATGATTTTTAAAGATGCATCCCCATCTACCTTCTTACTAAACTAGTCACATGTTAACAGTTTGCTTATTACTGCCTAGAGCTGGATCAGGGACACATTCCTCATGTGCAGGCTTGTAATTTGATGTAGACTCTAGGGGTGTGTCCTTGGTATATACCAAGCCAAATAAATACCCCAAAAATACCTTATCAGAGATTTGTATTCAGCTACCGAAATAGCCACACCCGAATAAAAGCTGATATTATTCGGGTGTGCTTAGACGGCATTAAAAGAGACCGTGGTCTCTTTAAATGCCTTCTGAGTTTGCGCACCGCTGTAGCAGTGCAATTCAGTGAGTGAACTCAGCAAGCATTTAAACTTTAAATCCTTTCTCCATTATACCCTATGAGGACAGTCCCCATAGGGTATAATGGAGTTGAATAAAGCCAGGTTTCCCAAATATTTATCCGAATCCCAATACAAAACCGATACTGGTATTCGGGAATATTCATATTACTGATACATTATGGGTCCGGATCAGGAAAAAAACCTGATTTATTTTTTTTGCACACCCCTAGTAGACACCTGAGGGTAGAGTAGTGCTGGTAAACTGAAAATTAAGAAACAAAGAACTGAATGGTTAAGTGTGGATAGAGAATTTTCAATTAGAAAAAAAGGGTGAAATTGGGAAGACAGCATTCCATAAGCAGGATATCCCATAGAATATGGTTGGGTAAAAAGAACATTGGAAAAGAGATGGCATTCAAGAAGAAGATGAAAACCGGCAGAGCCAAGGAACCTGAAGGATTGTAGAGAACTATGTAGAAGCAAGAGACTTTCTAGCCCAAAGCCAAAGCCTGCTCCGTTCTATATAGCTGTGTGTGCTCGATTGTCACATTTGCTGTGAATAAACTTCTGTCTGACACATTCATCCCCTTTAAATATATGCCTACCAGTATCAGAACTCGTGTTCAATCACAAAGGCAGAAAAAGTTTGAAACTTGGAGGGGGGGGGAGAGACGCTTCAGAGGTGTTCTGTTTCTGTGTTTCTCCTCGATCTCCCATCTTTCTTGTTCTTTGGTACTATGGCTTATTTCAGACAGACACTTTCCCTTTCTACTCACACTGAAGCAGTAGCTCTTTTATGTGTGAGAATGGATTTGGCTGTTTGTAGTGACCTCCAGAGATAGCTGATAGAGAAAAAAAATATCACATACAGGAGAGGTTCTTGCTTGATTCTAACATCCCCTCTTCCTTTCCCACAGCAAACACGGACAGATTTCTCTTGGGATGGCATTAATGTAAGTACAACCTCCACACCTGAAAGGATTTCTGTGCATGCTTCTTGCGGTCTGTCTGTGTGTAGGAGCTTGGCTTTGGTGGGCTGTCCATGCCTCTGCTGGGTCTGGAGGTGCATTAGAGTTGCCAATCCCACAGTTGGGCAGGGAATTCTCCTGCTCAGTTTCTCCTGCTCAGGGCAGCAGTGTGGGGGGGAATTAAAAATTGTTATTATTGTTGTTATTGTTGATTATTATAATAATAATAATAACATTAACAACAACAATAATCTGCCCTCCCCCCAAATGGGGCTCAGGACGGTTAACAACAGGTACAATTCTAATAAATACTATACATAGACACACACACATATATATACATAAAGGTAAAGGTTTCCCTTGCTCGAAAGCTAGTCAAATCCGACTCTAGGGGGCAGTGCTCATCTCCGTTTCCAAGCCAAAGAGCCAGCGCTGTCTGAAAACATTTCCATGGTTATGTGGCCAGCATGACTAAATGCCGAAGCGCACAGAATGCTGTTACCTTCCCACCAAAGTGATACCTTTTTTTTTTTTTTAATCTACTTGCAATTTCTTGCTTTCGAACTGCTAGGCTGGCAGGAGCTGGGGCCAGAGACAGGAGTTCACTCCGTCACACGGCACTAGGGTCTCGAACTGCCAAACTACAGACCTTCTGGTCTGCAGCGGTGGCTCAAGTGGTTAAGACGCTGAACTGCAGGCTGTGGAAGGTCAGTAGTTCAGCAGTTCAAGACCCGGGTGCCGCATGATGGAGTGAGCTCCCATCTGTAGTTCCAGTTCCTGCCACATGACCACGGAAACGTCTTCGGACAGCGCTGGCTCTTCGGCTTTGAAACGGAGATGAGCACCGCAACCCTAGAGTCGGACTCGACTGGCTTTCGAGCAAGGGAACCTTTACCTAACCAACTTTATTTCGGCTTGCATGACCAAAAGTCTTAAGCACACTTGTACAACCTTTACCTATATATATATATACACACACACACACACACACACACACATACAGATTAAAATTTTAAAAGAATAAAATGGCAGTAATCAAACTAATCAGATGGCTTTAGACATTCTGTATCCTTCCCCTAGAGTGGGGAGGCACGGAGAACAGGCTTTATGGCAAACCGTTGCTGTCCTCAACCAACGCTGTCAGCGCTAACTGGGGTGTCACATCACTGCAGATTGAAAAACAAAAACTGATGAAGGGTAGCTCTAGGAATTACTGGAAACTGTGGTTTTACTGTAGAGTTTCTGGCGATACCTATGGCACTTCCCGTTTTTTACCATATCCCTGCCCACAGCCCTACTGCCAGTTGCCACGCAACCCTATTTCTGTGATGGTACGTTTTTGGATTATCCCTAGGATCTAGTGCATAATTAATCTGTGAAAACTGGATTAATTACCTGGGTGCCTGCTGAA